TGGTCCCACAAATGCTTCTCAGCATGGACACTGCATGAGGGCCTGGTAGGAGGGCTTGCGCCAAGACCTCGAGAAGGGAGGCGACCTCTGCTCACACGATCGGGGAGGCTGTTTGCAGATGCGAGCTGGCGAGGAGGAGAAAAGCCTTGCAGGGCAGAGATCACGGAACGCCTCGGGCTCTGCCCGGGTCCTGGGAATACGGACTGATTTTCATTGCTCTACGTCCTCAATGCTCGGAGATAAAAGCCCCTAGACGAACTGAGAGTGGTCAGACCGGGTGGCTCCTCACCTGCTACTTCTGATGCAGCCGCACCCAGACAACAATTGGTGATGAACTCAGAGCACTAGTTTAGCGTGTCTTAGAAGGATCTCGAGTGCTCTCCACGCGGCTGCCTTACCTACCCCTTCACCCTCCCCTTCCACGCCCAGAAGATCAATGAGACTATACACATAATAGAAGTGTTTGGGGCCCAGAGCTCGGGGCCAACGCTTTTTCCACGCTTGCACTGGTCCCCTGGACCCACGCTGTAAATTCTACTCTTGTGTCTCCGTCTTTATTCCCTTTTCTCAATCCCTCCTTACCGCCGGGACTAAGGGCAGTCACGTACGGGGTTGGGCTGGTACCCAACAGACATGGAATCAACCTAGGTGACCATAGCCAGTGGATTACAAAAAATGTGGAACATACCCACCATGGAATACTACACGTCCATGAAAAAGAAGGAAGTCACGTATTTTCCAGCAACATGGATGCAGCAGAAAACCAAGTATGGCACGCTCTTACTTACACGTGGGCACACATGGACATAAAAGTAGAAACAACAGACACCAGGGATTCCACATGGAGGGACAGAGGGGGAAAGGGCTGAACAACCTCCTGGTGGCTACTACGTCCACTATCTGGGTGACAAGATCCGTGGAAGCCCCAACCTCAGCATCATGCAATATACCCTTGGAAGAAACCTGCACGTGCCCTAGGGGTCTGAAATAAAAATAGCAATTCCACTGCAGTCGGCAGAATCTCACAGCAGTCAGAGCGGCCATTATTAAACTGGCTAAGTCAGTCCAGGGTCCTGAAGAGCACAAGTGAAATCAATAATGCCGTACGTCTCACCCGACTTCATACGGTCCTTCTGTTATAATCCTGTGGAAGGGCCAGGCACGGTGGCTCACGTCTGTAATCGCAGCACTCTGGGAGTTCGAGGCAGGCAGGTGACCTGAGGTCAGGAGTTCGGGACTAGCCTGGCCAACATGGTGAAACCCCAACTCTACTAAAACTACAGAAATTAGCTGGGCACGGTGGCGCGCACCTGTAATCCCAGCTACTCAGGGGGCTGAGGCAGGAGAATTGCTTGAACCCAGGAGGCAGAGGTTGCGGTGAGCCAAGATTGCACCATTGCACTCCAGCCTGGGTAACAAGAGCCAAATACCCTCGAAAGAAAGAGAAAGAAAGAAAAGAAAGGAAGAAAGAAAGAAGGAAGGAAGGAAGGAAGGAAGGAAGGAAGGAAGGAAGGAAGGAAGGAAGGAAAAAGAAAAACAATAGGGCTGGGCGCGGTGGCTCATGCCTGTAATCCCAGCACTTTGGGAGGCCGAGGCAGGAGGATCACAAGGTCAAGAGATTGAGACCATCCTGGTCAACATGGTGAAACCCCGTCTCTATTAAAAATACAAAAAATTAGCTGGGCATGGTGGCGCGTGCCTGTAATCCCAGCTACTCGGGAGGCTGAGGCAGGAGAATTGCCTGAACCCAGGAGGCGGAGGTTGCGGTGAGCCGAGATCGCGCCATTGCACTCCAGCCTGGGTAACAAGAGCGAAACTCTGTCTCAAAAAAAAAAAAAAAGAAAAACAATAAAGTTAGGCAGGTGTGGTGGCAGATACCTATAGTCCCAGCTACTTGAGAGGCTGAGGCAGGAGAATTGCTTCAATCCAGGAGGCAGAGGTTGCAGTGAGCCGGGAAAGCACCACTGCACTCCAGCCTAGGGAACAGAGTGAGACCTTGTCTCAAAAAAAAAAAAAGTAAAGGAACGGAGCCCTGAGGCAGCCCCTGGGTGTGGGGAAATCTATTTCAGGAGCAACAGGAAAATGTATGAAGAACTAAGGAAAGGGTGCTGGAGTGTTGGGAGCAAAACAGAATCATCCACTGCCAACAATTCTCCACCGTGTCAAGGAGAATAACATATTTTGGTGAATTTTTATAATTCACCTGCAACGTGTTTTGTGGAAACGTATTTGTTTTTCTGCACCTGTAGTGGAAAGGAGATTTTCTCTATTTCTCTGAGCTGCTTCTCCCCAGTAACATTTTGAAATCTAGGCCCCGAATCCTATTTGTCGGATTGTCCTGCCTGCAAAGTTGGTCCCCCCTTTTTTTTTTTGAGACAGAGTCCTGTTCTGTCACCGGGCTGGAGTGCAGTGGCACAATCTCAGGTCACTGCAACCTCCACCTCCTAGATTCAAGCAATTCTTCCGCCTCAGCCTCCCGAGTAGCTGGGACTACAGGTGTGCGCCACCACACCCAGCTAATTTGTGCATCTTCAGCAGAGACGGGGTTTCACCGTGTTGGCCAGGATGGTCTTGATCTCGACCTCGTGATCCGCCTGCCTCGGCCTCCAAAGTGCTGGGATTACAAGCATGAACCACCATGCCCGGCCAAGTTGGCCTTTTGCAAAGAAAAGAACAAGGCGGGTAGAGGTGGGAGAATCACCTGAGCTCAGGAGTTTGAGACCAGCCTGAGCAACATAGTGAGACCCCATCCCTAAAAAAAAAAAAAAAAACAACTCAGGCATGGTGGCCCACGCCTGGAGTCCCTGTGTCCAGGAGGCTGAGGGAGGAGGATTGCTTGAGTCCAGGAGGTGGAGGCTGCGGTGAGCTGTGATCGCATCACTGTACTACAGCCTGGGCAACAGAGAACTCAAAGAAATAATAGTAATAGAAGAAAAGACATTACAGAAGTGGGAAAAAAGAAAAGGTAACAGATCTGAGGAAGTCACACACACTCTCTAGGCAATGTTTAACAAATGGAATGTAAGACAAACATTTTGATTCTTTTCCTGAAATCCACCTCCTTGGAATTTTTTTTTTGAGAGAGAGTCTCACTGTTACCAGGCTGGACTGCAGTGGCGCAATCTCAGCTCACTGCAACCTCCGCCTCCTGGCTTCAAGGGATTCTCCTGCCTCAGTCTCCTGAGTAGCTGGGGTTACAGGCATCCACCACGCCTGGCTGATTTTTGTATTTTTGGTAGAGACGGTGTTTCACCATGTTGGCCAGGTTGGTCTCGACCTCTTGACCTCGTGATCCACCTGCCTCGGCCTCCCAAAGTGCTGGGATTACAGGCTTGAGCCACCACGCCCGGCCTGTATTTTTAGTAGAGACCAGGTTTCACCATGTTGGCCAGGATGATCTCGATCTCCTGACTTTGTCATCTGTCTGCCTTGGCCTCCCAAAATGCTGGGATTACAGGTGTGAACAACCGCGCAAGGCCAATTGTTTTTTTTTGACACAGAGTCTCACTCCGTCCCCTAGGCTGGAGTGCAGTGACACAACCTCCACCTCCAGGGTTCAAGCAATTCTCCTGCCTCAGCCTCCGGAGTAGCTGGGACTACAGGCACCTGCCACCACGCACGGCTAATTTTTGTAGTTTTAGTAGGGACGGGGTTTCACCATGTTGGCCAGGGTGGTCTCCAACTCCTGACCTCAAGTGATTTGCCTGCCTCAGCCTCCCAAAGTGCTGCGATCACAGGTGTGAGCCACAACGCCCGGCCTGGAAATATTTTATCTTCCAAGTTCTATGAATTAAATGAAAGTTTCATTTACTAAAAACGGAGGCGCCAGTAAGTGAACAAAATCTTTTCACAGTGACAAGTCCAGGGAGGGGTCAAGTCTGGCCAGGCTACCACGAGGAGGACCCCTGCCACCTCCAACTCAGGTGGCATTCCTCAGCAAGGAAATCCGTTGGCTATGACCCAGAACAGACCTGAGACGCTTCCCACACACTTCCCAGGGAATCGTGAAAGGAGACATTTCCGTGGTTTTGACCCCTCGTTTGCGGTCATTGGTCACTGCAGTCCCAGGACACGAACGCCCCAGCCTCCCAGGCGTCCCCACCGTGGGTCTGCGCGCATTTGTTTGGGGTCCTTGCTCTCCCTCTCAGGTGTGGGGGTTCTCTGGTCTCTTCAGTCACTTTTCTTCCTTGTAAGGACCCAGGGGCCAGGAACCCTTGGTTTTCCCCCCTTACCTACCCCAGGCATCTTGGGGTCAGAGGGGACAAGAAGTGCCCAAGAAGGAAACCGGGACTCAGGGGACGAAACCTCGCGCGCCCAACTGGCTTGTGGGCGACCTGGCTCCATCCCGGGGCGGACCCCTGCTCTCCCCAAAGCTCGGCTGCTCCTCCGGCGTCCTCATTCTGGATGGCATGGGAACTGCAGACTCAGTTTCTCCACGGAGCGACCCCTCGCCCGGCCAGGAGGTGGAGGCGAGTGGGGGCTGAGGCCTCTGCAGGTGGGGGCGCCAGAACGTCCCCGCCGGCTCGCTGAGGCCCTACTGCTCCCTGGCTGTCCCCGGAGGAAGCCGGGGTCCCCCAGAGACCGCGGCCGGGGGCGCGGGACCTCCCAGGAGCTGAGCCCCGGGAGCGCCGGAGGAGGCGGCACCGACCCCGGACCCGCACCCCAGGAAGCCCCGCGGCGTCGGCCCAGGGCGGGTTCCGGGGGGCCCAGGAGCGCACCGGGGGGTCTCGGGCGACCCCACCTACCGCGGTCCCGGCGTCCCGAAGCCGCGGCCAAACGCTCGGAGGCGCCGCGACCGCGGGCGGGAATGGGGAGTCGGGAGCGCAGGGACGACGGGGCCGGGGTCGGGCTCCCGGAGCTCCGAGCGCCCCAGCCGCGGCCTCAGTGGGGAAGGAGGGACCGCGCGGGACCCCCGGGGCCCAGGCGCTCGTCCTGCTCCGCCCCGCGGTCTCAGGTGGACACCGGTCCCCGCCCGGGAACGTCTCCCGCGCCGCACTTACCATGTCCCGGGGCGACTTCTCCGCGACCGGCGCAGGTGACCGCGACTGGAATCAGGACGCCGGGGACCGCTAGGGGCAGGGGAGGCACTCGCGGCGGGACGACAGACACGTCCCGTCCCGGAGGCCTGATTGGACAGAGCTCGGGAAGCCACGCCTCTGATTGGACAGTGCTGCTAACGTCAGCCACCCTGATTGGACAGTTTTCCGGTCCGTTCCCCGGATATTGACTGGGCGTCCTTGTCTAGGCGCTGCCTCTGCCCGTCCTGATTGGACAGCTCCCTAGGACCCAACCCCTCCCGCCAGACTGAGGGGCGTGTTGCGAACACCCGTGGATGTCCTGCCCGGCGGGGACACCTTCTAGGTGAACTCGCTTCAGTCCGTGGCGGACCCCGCCTCTTCCCGCAACTCGGCCGCCCCTTCCGCGTCCTCCTCCCCAACCCCCCGACGGGCGTGGGAAATGCGAACTCAGTTTCCCCACGGAACAACCCCTTGTCCGGCCAGAAGGTGGAGTTGAGCGCGCAGAGTGAGCCTTGCAGGGCAAGCGGGGGACTGAGCCCCGGTTCTGTGGGGCTAAGGCCTATGTGGCGCGGTGGGGGCCGCGGTTGTGACGTCATAGCACTGTCCCGCGTGGGCACGGCGCGGTGAGGCCCCGCCCCGGGGGCTGGGCATCCGGAGACCTGGCCTGGGGGAGGCCAAACCTGAAACCTGGCATTGGGCAGGAACTTTGCTCAAATCAAAAACCCTCAAGCTCAGGCCCGGTGCGGTGGCTCAACGCCTGTAATCCCAGCACTTTGGGAGGCCGAGGTGGGTGGATCACGAGGTCAAGAGATCGAGACCATCCTGGTCAACATGGTGAAACCCCGTCTCTACTAAAAATACAAAAATTAGCTGGGCATGGTGGCGCGTGCCTGTAATCCCAGCTGCTCGGGAGGCTGAGGCAGGAGAATTGCTTGAACCCAGAAGGCGGAGGTTGCGGTGAGCCGAGATCGCGCCATTGCACTCCAGCCTGGGTAACAAGAGCGAAACTCCGTCTCAAAAAAAAAAAAAACAACCCTCAAGCTCGGCCGGGTTCAATGGCTCACGCCTGTAATACCAGCTTTTTGGGAGGCCAAGGCAGGCGGATCACCTGAGCTGAAGAGTTCGAGCCCAACCTGGCCAACATGGGCCAGGCCACAGAGAGAAATTGGTCTCAAACAAAAAAACTCACGAGTCCACATATTAAAGTGTAAGGAAATTTTTTTCAGATGATTTTTAACTACATTCCCAAACAATTTGGAAGATTAAAAGGCTATAATGGCCGGGCGCGGTGGCTCACACATGGAACCTGGCACTTTGGAGGGCCAAGGCGGGTGGATCACCTGATATTAAGAGTTCAAGACCAGCCTGGCCAAAATGGCAAAAACCCCAGCTCTACTAAAAATACAAAAATTAGCTGGGCAAGATGGCAGGCGCCTGTAATCCCAGCTAAACAGGAGAATCATTTGAACCTGGGGAGGCGGAGGTTGCAGTTGAGCCGAGATTGGGCCACTGCACTCTAGCCTGGGGGACAGAGCAAGACTCTGTCTCAAAAGAAAAAAAAAAAAGAGGCTATGATATTGCAAAATAATAGGAATGTATCTAATACCACTGAACTTTAGACTTAACAATTATGAAGATGGTAAATTTTTTTTTTTTTTTGAGACGGAGTTTCACCCTTCTTACCCAGGCTGGAGTGCAATGGCGCCATCTCGGCTCACCGCAACCTCCGCCTCCCGGGTTCAGGCAATTCTCCTGCCTCAACCTCCTGAGTAGCTGGGATTATAGGCACGTGCCACCATGCCCAGCTAATTTTTTGTATTTTTAGTAGAGACGGGGTTTCACCATGTTGACTAGGATGGTCTCGATCTCTTGACCACCCGCCTCAGCCTCCCAAAGTGCTGGGATTACAGGCGTGAGCCACCACGCCTGGCCTGAAGATGGTAAATTTTTATTTGTATTTTACAATTTTTTAGATGTTATATTTAAAACAGAAAAGCCTATGGTATTTCTAAGGATACTGAATCCCTATTTTAACTGATGTAAGAAAGACGGGCAAAAGTTTAAATGAATTTGTATGAATCTTAGGAAGGAATTGGGTTTTAATTTTTGGTTTTTTGAGACAGAGTCGCTCTCTGTCACCTCGGCTGGAGTGCAGTGGTGCAATCCTGGCTCATTGCAAACTCCATCTCCCATGTTCAAGTGATTCTGGTGCCTCAGCCTCCCGAGTAGGTGGGACTACAGGCGCAGGCTGTTACACCAGGCTAATTTTTTTTTTTTTTTTTGAGATGGAGCTTCGCTCTTGTTGCCCAGGCTGGAGTGGAATGGCGTGATCTCGGCTCACCACAACCTCTGCTTCCCGGGTTTAATCGATTCTCCTGCCTCAGACTCCCAGGTAGCTTGGAATACAGGCACACGCCACCACACCCAGCCAATTTTGTATTTTTAGTAGAGACAGGGTTTCCTCATGTTGGTCAGGCTGGTGTTGAACTCGTGACCTCAGGTGATCCACCCACCTCGGCCTCCCAAAGTGTTGGGATTACAGGCATGAACCACTTCACCCAACCTTAAATTAAGAAAAAAAGGAAAAAAATTATGTGATCAACCTGAAAACACTTAATATACTTAATAGACTAGGGTTGAAAACCAAATGCATTAATGACTGCTCATCTCAGAAAACTCCATAGCTTAAGGGGGTGTTCCAATTTTGTCATTTCGTTCAGAAACAGAATTTTAAAAATTCACTTTTATCTTTCCTAGAAAGGTTGTACACACTTTAATAAAAATACATGTTTAGAGGACTGACACAGGAAAGCAGCTTCCAGTTTAAAAGAAAGTAGTGTGGCTGGGCTCCGTGGATCACCCCTGTAATTCCAGCACTTTGGGAGGCCAAGGCCAGTGGATCACTGGAGGTCAGGAGTTCGAGACCGGCCTGGCCAACGTGGTGGAACCCTGTGTCAAATAAAAGAATAAAAACAAAAGGCTGGACACGGCGGCTCACGCCTGTAATCCTAGCACTTTGGGAGGCCGAGGCGAGAGAAGATTCCGTCTCAAAAAAAAAAGAAAAATTAGTAGGGCATGGTGGTGTGTGCCTGTAATCCCAGCTACTTGGGAGGCTGAGGCAGGAGAACTGCTTGAACCCTGGAGGCAGAGGTGGCAGTGAGCTGAAATCATGCCATTGCTCTCCAGCCTGGGTGACAGTGAGACTCCATCTCAAAAATAAATAAAAATTTTAAAAAATAATTGCTGGAGAGAGACAGCAACGCTGAGGACAGAACAGTCAGGAGAACTCTAACTCAGCTCTTCTCAAGAATATGCCAAAATCTACAGATGCTTTCCCCAAAAAACACATCAATGCACCAGCACACACTTTGCACCCAGTTCAAAGTTGTTCACAGAGCCCTTAAAAAACCTCGCTCGGCCAGGCACCGTGGCTTACACCTGCGATCCCAGCACTTCTGGAGGCCGAGGCGGACACATCACCGGAGGCGAGGAGTTGGAGACTAGCCTGGATGACAGAGCAAAACCCATCTCTACAAAAAAAAAATACAAAAAATTAGCTGGGCGTGGTCGCACGTGCTTGGAATCCCAGCTACTCAGGAGGCCGAGGCAGGAAAATCTATTGAACCCGGGAGTCGGAGGTCTCAGTCAGCCGAGACTGCCCCACTGCTCTCCAGCCTGGGCCACAGAGTGAGACTCAGCCTCAGAAAAAGAAAAGAAACTTACTCATCAACCCAGTAGGGTCTAGACTGGCGGTGGATCAGGGATCTCTAAGGAAAAGCAACTTGTTCGATTAGGGTGAAAGGAGATCGGACGGGCAACCTCCCTCATTAGCTCAAGGAAAAAGGGAAGATTCATAGCAAAGTTAGGTGACTTCTAAGAGAAAATCTGCACATTTTTTTTGAGGCAGGGTCCTGCTCTGTCACTCAGGCTGGGGTGCAGTGCTGCGCTCACAGCTCACCGTAGCCTCGAGCTCCTGGGCTCGAGGAGTCCTTCCACTTCAGCCCCCAGAGTAGCTGGGACTACAGGCGTGAGCCGCCATGCCTGGCTAATGTTTGTATTTTTCTTTCTTTCCTTTTTTTTTTTGAGACAGAGTCTCACTCTGTTGCCCAGGCTGGAGTGCAGCGGCGTGATCTCGGCTCACTGCAACCTCTGCCTCCCAAGTTCCAGCAATTCTCCTGCCTCAGCCTCCTGAGTCCCGAGTAGCTGGGACTACAGGCTCTCGCCAGCACACCCAGCTTGCCAGGGTGATCCCCATCTCCTGACCTCGTGATTCACCCGCCTCGGCCTCCCAAACTGCTGGGTTTACGGGCATGAGCCGCCGTGCCCAGCCTAATGTTTATGCTTCGCAGATACAGAGCCTGTGTTGCCCAGGCTGGGCTGAACTCCTCGACTCAAGTGAGTCCCCTGCCTCAGTTCCCAAAATACTGGGATTACAGTTGTGAGCCACTGCATTCAGCTTTCCAAGAGAAAATCTGGGAGACAGTTCCCCTGCTTGGTGGCCTGGTGAATGAGGTGTTGGCTTTCTACAGGTTGTTCAAGGTCAAATCCAGATTCCACTACCCATTTTTCTTTGAGACAGAGTCACACTGTCACCCAGGCTGGAGTGCAATGGTGCCATCGCGGCTCACTGCAACCTCTGCCTCCTGTGTTCAAGGTATTCTCATGCCACAGCCTCCTGAATAGCCGGGACAAGCAGCGTGTACCACCATGCCTGGCTAATTTTTGGATTTTTTGGTTGGCATGTTAGCCAGGCTGGTCTCCAACTCCTGACCTCAGGCTATCCACCCACCTCAGCCTCCCAAAGTACTGGGATTATATGCGTGAGCCACCACGCCCAGCATCAACTACATTTTTTTTTTTTTTGAGACAGAGTTTCGCGCTTGTCACCCAGGCTGGAGTGCAATGGCGCGATCTCGGCTCACTGCAACCTCCGCCTCCTGGGTTCAGGCAATTCTCCTGCCTCAGCCTCCTGAGTAGCTGGGATTACAGGCACGCGCCACCACGCCCAGCTAATTTTTGTATTTTTAATAGAGACAGGGATTCACCCCGTTGACCAGGATGGTCTCGATCTCTTGACCTTGTGATTCACCCACCTCGACCTCCCAAAGTGCTGGGATTATAGGTGTGAGCCACCGCGCCCGGCAACCAATCTTTTCTGAAAGTTTGGAGCTCACTGGACAGAGCATAATGGTAATTCCTCCCACTAAAAGGCTGCCCCAGGTTGGGCACAGTGGCTCATGCTTTTAATCCCAACTCTTCGGGAGGCCAAGAGAAAAGGACTGCTTGACCCCAGGAGTTCAAGACTAGTCTTGGCAATTTAGCAAGACCCCAACAGCATAAAAAAATTAAAAATTCGCTGGGCATGGTGATGCCCACGTGTAGTAGACGGAGTCTTGCTCTGTCGCCTGGGCTGGAGCGTGGTGATCTTGGCTCACTGCAGCCTCCTGCTTCCAGGTTCAAGTGATTCTCCTGCCACAGCCTCCCGGGCAGCTGGGATTACAGGCACACACCACCAAGCCTGGCTAACTTTTGTAATTTTAGTAGAGATGGGGTTTCACCATGTTGGTCAGGCTGGTCTCAAACTCCTGACCTCGTGATCCTCCCGCCTCGGCCTCCCAAAGTGCTGGGATTACAGGCATGAGCCACCGCGCCTGGCCAATAAACCCACTTCTTTTCAAAGAATCCATCACACCAGGGCAAAGTGTAACCACATGTATGTGTCAGAGCACTAAACAGCCGTTTACAAAGCAGCACGCACTCGCTGGCACCCGATAAGATGTCTGTGCCGGTAGAACGCTTCCCCACAGTCAATGATCTTATAGGTTTTCTGGCTGCTATGAGTCTTCTGATGTGTGGCAAGGGAGGAGCTCTGGCTGAAGGCTTTCCCACATTCCTGACACCTGTAGGGTTTCTCTCCGGTGTGAGTTCTCTCGTGCCTCACAAGGGAGGACCTCTGGCTGAAGGCCCTTCCACACCGCTTACATTCATAGGGGTTCTCGCCAGTGTGAGTTCGCTCGTGCTGGTTGAGGGAGGAACGGTCGCTGAAGGCCTTCCCACAATCGCCGCATTCGTAGGGCTTCTCGCCCGTGTGTGTCCTCTTGTGCAAGGTGAGGTAAGAGCTCTGGCAGAAGGATTTCCCACAGTCTTTGCACGTGTAGGGCTTTTCCCCGGTGTGGATCCTCTGGTGCTGGGTCAGAGATGAGATCCTGTTGAAGGCCTTCCCGCACTGGCCACATGCGTAGGGCTTCTCCCCAGTATGAGTTCTCAGATGGCGCGTGAGGGTGGAGCTGTGCGTGAAGGCTCGCCCGCACGCCTGACACGCGTAGGGCTTCTCTCCCGTGTGAATTCTCTGATGCTCGCTCAGCGAATGTCTCCGGTTGAACCCCTTCCCGCACTGGTGGCACTCAAAGGGCTTCTCTGCTGCGTTGATTCCATTGCGTATGGTGAGCGCCACGCTGTGGTTCAGTGACTGCCCATTTTCCAAATACACAAACATGTCCCCACCGTGTTGACTAAAGTGACCGTTCCGGCTGACGGCATTTCCACATCCGTGATCTGCACAGGGTCTCCCATCAGCGTGTCCCATCTGACGGCGGTTTAAGACTGAATCGGATGCCAAGCTCGTCATATCCAGTTCACGGTCACACACGTGTTTCCCATTAGAGCTTCCCTGTGATAAAACGAGGGCTGAGCTCGGATGACCATTTTCCCCAAATCCATGGCATCCAGCAGCTGTGTCCTGAGGAAGTGCCACTGCTTGGATGGATGCCTTCTGGCTCAGAAGCCCCTGGGGGCCGTCAGGACTCTCCTCTAACTGCCTCCATCCCCCGTCTTCTCTGATAAGCCTTATGATACTTATTCCACTGGCTGGCTCCTCCTGTAAGACCACCTTCTTGTAAGTTGAGTCTTGGTTTTTCAGTACCGTCGTCCAATCTGAAATAAATTGAGGGGGAAACAATTTTTTTTAGAAGAAGAAGCGGCTACTTGAAAATCAGTGGGCCAGGCCGGGCGCGGTGGCTCACGCCTGTAATCCCAGCACTTTGGGAGGCTGAGGTGGGTGGATCATGAGGTCAAGAGATCGAGACCATCCAGGTCAACATGGTGAAACCCCGTCTCTACTAAAAATACAAGAATTAGCTGGGCATGGTGGCGCGTGCCTGTAATCCCAGCTACTCGGGAGGCTGAGGCAGGAGAATTGCCTGAACCCAGGAGGCGGAGGTTGCGGTGAGCTGAGATCGTGCCATTGCACTCCAGCCTGGGTAATGAGAGCGAAACTCCGTCTCAAAAAGAAAAAAGAAAATCAGTGGGCCAAAGTCCCTCCAACATCTACAAGGCCTGTGTGGACTGATGTTTAGATATCAGCTTTGAACATGGGGGAAGGATGGAAAAAGAGAGGTGGGCAGCGAGGAGGGCTACTGAGGGTGAGGTGCAGCAGCAGCCGATTGACAGTGATGGAAAAAGGCAGGGGGATCAAAATACAGAGAGAAATTATTCTGTAAAGCTGGGAGAATATGTCTGGCAGAGAGAAAGAATTATCAAGAAAGGAAAGAGGGAAGACACAACTAGAAACACGTACAGAATGGCTTCAAGACGAAAAGGGAGAAGGCCGGGCGTGGTGGCTCACACCTGTAATCCCAGCACTTTGGGAGGCCGAGGCAAGAGGATCACCTGAGGTCAGGACTCTGAGACCAGCCTGGCTAACATGGTGAAACCCTGTCTCTACTAAAAATACAAAAAATTAGCTGAGCGTGCTGGTGGGTGCCTGTAGTCCCAGCTACTTGGGAAGATGAGGCAGGAGAATCCCTTGAACCCAGGAGGCGGGGGCCGTAGTGAGCCGAGATCTCGCCACTGCTCTCCAGCCTGGGCGAGAGAGCGAGACTCAGTCTCAAAGAAACTAACAAAGAAAATGCAGCTGGGAGTTGTGGCCGATGCCTGCCCTCCAGGGGAGGCTGAGAAAGGAGGATCGCTTGAGGCCAGGAATTCGAGACCAGCCTGGAAAACACAGTGAGAGCCCCATCTCTGGAAAAAAAAAATAGCTGGGAGTGATGGCAAGTGCCTATAGTCCCAGCTGCTCACGAGGCTGAGGCAGGAGAATCACGTGCGCCCAGGAAGGCAAGGATGCAGTGAGATATGATTGTGCCACCACACTCCAGCCTGGGCCACAGAGTGAGACCCTTCAGATAAATAAATAATAAAATGGCCGGGCGCGGTGGCTCACGCCTATAATCCCAGCACTTTGGGAGGCCAAGGAGGGCAGATCATGAGGCCAAGACATCCTGGCCTCGAAACCATCCTGGCCAACATAGTGAAACTCCATCTCTACTAAAATACAAAAATTAGCTGGCCGTGCCTGTAGTCCCCGCTACTGGGTAGGCTGAGGCAGGAGAAGTGCTTGAACCCGGCAGGCGGAGGTTGTGGTGAGCCAAGATCGTGCCACTGCACTCCAGCCTGGTGCCTGGTGAAAGAGAGAGAGTCTGTCTCAAAAAAAAAAAAAAAAAAAAAAAAAAAGTAAATAAATAAAACAAGAAAATGGGATATTCTTTTCTCTGTACCCAGAGAGAGGTCACATAAAGTAGTAAGAGAAGGGGAAAAGCTGACAGGAGGTGAACTGAGGGTGTCTGAGGACGGTCTCTTGGCACCATCCTTACAGAACCGGGGCCTTGTGAAGAGGCCTCTACCAATGTTTCCCCAGATGCTCCTGCCACCCTGACGCTTTCCATGTGCCCGATTCTCACCGGAACAGGAGGCTCGAGGAGTTCCTCTTTCCTCCATCCACAGGGCTTCACTTTGCTCCACGTGGGCAGAAGCCACTGGCTGAAGACGTAAATGCCACATCCACGAGGAAAGACGAGTGGCTTGTGGGGTGTGTGCCGTGGAAAATGGACCCTCCTCCATCCCTGCATCAGCACATGGGTTCTTCAAGGCTTCTGCAAGAGACGAGACTGCACTGGAGAGGTGGCACAAAGTAAAGATTTCATTTTCTAATTTACAAAATCACAGGTCTGGCTGAGCATGGCGGCTCACACCTACACGTTTCGAGGCCCAGAGGCAGGCGACGACTTGAGCCCAGGAGTTTGACACCAGCCTGGGCAACATGGCAAGACCCCGTACACACACACACACACACACACACAGACACGCACACACAAATACACCCATACACACATGCACACACCCATACACACACCCACACCCCCCACACACACACCCATACACACACATGCCCATACACACATACACCCATAAACACACGCCCATACACACACACACCCATACACACACATGCCCATACACACATACACACCCATACACACACACCCATACACACACACCCCCATACACACACATGCCCATACACACACACCCATACACACACATGCCCATACACACATACACCCATAAACACACGCCCATACACACACACACCCATACACACACATGCCCATACACACACACACCCATACACACACACCCATACACACATACACCCATAAACACATGCCCATACACACACACACCCATACACACACATGCCCATACACACATACACACCCATACACACACACCCATACACACACACACCCATACACACACATGCCCATACACACACACCCATACACACACATGCCCATACACACATACACCCATAAACACACGCCCATACACACACACACCCATACACACACATGCCCATACACACACACCCATACACACACATGCCCATACACACACACACCCATACACACATACACCCATAAACACATGCCCATACACACACACACCCATACACACACACCCATACACACGTACACGCCCATACACACGTACACGCCCATACACACACACACCCATACACACACACACGCACACACAAAACTGGCCAGGTGTGGTGGTGTGAGCCTATGGTCTCAGCTACTTGGGGTGGAGGCAGGAGGATCACTTAAGCCTGGGGAGGTCAAGGCTGCAGTGAGCCGTGCTCACCACACTGCACCCCAGGCTGGGCAATGAGAGTGAGACCCCGTCTCAAAAAGAAAAAAAATGACAGATCCTACATTTCTCCCGAAAACCAGTAAACGAATTGTCAGTAAATACGTGAAAGGCTGCTACTCCGGGCAACCAGAAGGAAACTCCGTCTCAAAAAGAAAAGAGGTTTAATTGACTTAAAGTTCTGCATGGCTGGAGAGGCCTCAGAAAATTTACACACTTGTGGCAGAAAGGGAAGCAGGTGCCTTCTTCAAAGGCATCAGGAGAGATGAGAGAGCAGGGGAAACCATACAACACCATCCCATCAGGTGGGCGCGGCGGCTCACGCCTGTAATCCCAGCGCTTTGGGAGGCCCAGGCGGGCGGATCATGAGGTCAGGAGATCGAGGCCATCCTGGCCAACATGGTGAAACCCCGTCTCTACTAAAAATACAAAAAATTAGCTGGGCATGGTGGCGCGTGCCTGTAATCCCAGCTACTCAGGAGGCTGAGGCAGGGGAATTGCTTGAACCCAGGAGGCGGAGGTTGTGGTGAGCCGAGATCGCGCCATTGCACTCCAGCCTGGGTTACAAGAGCGAAACTCCGTTCCCCTCCCCGCCCAAAAAAAAAAAAAATTAGCCAGGCGTGGTGGCACATGCCTGTAAACCCAGCTGCTCAGGAGGCTGAGGCAGGAGAGTCACTCGAACCCGGGAGGCAGAGGTTGCAGTGAGCTGGGATCGTGCCATTACACTCCAGCCTGGACAACAAGAGCGAAACTGCATCTCAAAAAAAAAAAGATGACCTCACTCCTCATTTGCCTTCCACCACGATTGCGGGGCCTCCCCAGCCATGTGGGACTGAGTCCATTACGCCCACTTTCCTTTATAAATGACCAGTCTTGGGTACGTCTTTACTAGCAGTGTGAGAACCGACTAACACACTAGACCAACGTGAACCGACGAACACGGGAATTCGTGACGCTTGCCTTACCCAGCGAGACCAGGTTCCTGTAGTTCTCCAGCGTCACCTCTCTGTACAGCTCCTTCTGAGCAGGGTCCAGCAGCTCCCACTCCTCCTGGGAGAAGTCCACGGACACATCCTCAAAGGTTACCAGTTCCTAGAATATCACAGTGGTTCTGCTCAAGATGGGCCCATTGCTGCCCACGTTCACGGCAGGAGGGCGAGCTTGGCGGCACCAGGGGAGTTCAGAAAGGTCAAGGTGCAAAGTGCAGAGGTCAGTTTCTACTGGCTGCCTTGTGAGTGCTTGTCCTTGGCCTAAAAGCAGAGGGACAGGGCTGGGCGCGGTGGCTCACGCCTATAATCCCAGCACTTTGGGAGGCCGAGGCGGGTGGATCACGAGGTCAAGAGATCGAGACCATCCTGGTCAACGTGGTGAAACCCCGTCTCTACTAAAAATACAAAAATTAGCTGGGCATGGTGGCGCGTGCCTGTAATCCCAGCTACTCGGGAGGCTGAGGCAGGAGAATTGCCTGAACCCAGGAGGCGGAGGTTGCGGTGAGCCGAGATCGCGCCATTGCACTCCAGCCTGGGTGACAAGAGCGAAACTCCGTCTCCAAAACAAACAAAAAGATCAGTCAGTTCTCTTTGCTTCCAGACTCAGAGCTGCATGTTACTAGGCACAGACAGTGTAAGAGGAGGAATCTGCTACAACAGCCCTGCTTCACCGAAATATGGTGGAAGCTTCGTTGTTTGAGCACAGGAAGGGGCCCATAGCACTCGGGCCTGAATGGCTTCCCGGTAATCCACGGTACAGCACGGCACCTGAGCTGGTGTCTGCTGGAAAATCCGCTCCCATTATTAGTCACCTTCCACCAGGCCCCACCTCCAATGTTGGTGATTCTTTTTCTTTTTTTTTTTCCTTTTTCTTTTTTCATTCAAGAATTTTCTTCTTAGACCCACCAACGTTGCTGATTAGAACTAGACACGAGATTTGGGCGGGGCCAAAAATCCAAAGCAGATCGGCCTGTGACCCCTAAGGCTCTACACCACTTCCTGGGCGGGCCCTGCCTGCTCTCCAGGGGAAGGTACTGGATCCCACCTGCTGATGGCGGTGGCTGCTGCCATCACGCCGGCAGCAGCAGGGAGGTGCCACTGAGGTCACACACTCCATGGAGCTGGTGGGGAGCGGTTTGGGAGCCACCCAAACTGCAGCTGTGGATCAGAGCCTCCCTGTGCTCTCCAGCGACCTGGGAACAGGCAGGATCTGTCCTGCTGGGTGCAGCTGCAGACCTGGGCCTCCCACTCCAGGAAGCAGGCAGGAGCTGGAATCAAGTGGCAGCCCTGCCTCTTCCAAGTTGGTGACACAGGAGCTCCCGGGTGCAGCCGCGGCTGCCCTCCCAGGCCCAGGACTCAGGCATCTTTGCAGCCTGTACCCTCAGGGATCTCAGGAAGGACCCCCCCCCCAAGTCCCTGTAGGTTCAGGGGTGTCTGTTTCCACTGCCTGGCCTCTGTCTGCTCCTGAAACCTGCTTCAATCTCAGAATGGGGGTTAGGGCCAAGCCCCAGGACCATGAATGGCAGCAGGAGGCAGCTTAATTCCTGGGTGGAAGCAGTAGGTCCCCAGTAAGGCCCCACCTTCAGTCCACGGAGGGTCTGAAGACCGGGCTGGGCTGCCAGTCCTACAGACAACAGGGGGGACTCAGGTGCCTCCTTCAGCCTGCCCACGGCCACCCATGAACCAGCTGGCACATACGTCCTCCCGTCTGAGATCCATAAAAGCCCTGGGCTCAGCCTTAGCAGGGCAGAGGACAGCCAGAGGACAAAGAGGGCAAAGAGATGACAGGACAGGACCACCAGCTGCAGAGAGGAGCACCCTCTCCACTGAGAGCTGCAGAAACAACCTGCCGGCAGGGAGGGGCTACCCTGTCTGCTGAGAGCTTCATCCGAATGGCTTGGCTGCAGGGAGGAGCCACGCTCTCTGGGGCCTCCTATCTGCAGAGCCCTGAGCACTGGAGCACACAACGTGCCCGCAGAGAGGAGCTGCGCACTTGGAGCTGTTCTAACAGTAAACAGAATCTCTTCTTCACCCTCCCCTCGTCTGCCTGCCTCATTCCTCCTAGATGCAGGACAAGAGCTTGGGCAAAGGCACCACACAGCTTTCCAGCCAGGAAAACCGACACCCCTGAGATCCTGTAATCCTGTCTCCCGGGAAAGGCCGTGCTCAGTCCCTCTACAGGGGGGTCATTCCTTCCGCTTGGGAGCGGCCCGAGTACCTCGTCCCACACACACCTGGGGAATTCTCTGGAACTTTCCACATGGCAAGGGGTCTCCTTCTCTACCAAGGACTGAGTTTCTGGTGGGACTGTTCCCTCCGGATATACTGGGCACCTTTTGGGAGGGTGACGACATCTCACCTGGGGCCAGCGGGGTGGGTGCCCAGCAGCCATTCTCTCCTCTCCGGAAAAGCAGGTTCCTGGGCAGGCAGAGCTGTGGGGAGAAAAACTGTGCCGTGAGTACGAGACCAAGGCCCGTCCCCAGATGCCAGAGCCCATGGCCTGGAGAACCTCCATTCACCTGAAGGGCCCCATACACGGGGGGAGGTGAACTGAAACCAGCACCCAGGACTGAGGCCAGGGTTTTTTTTTTTTTTGAGATGGAGTTTCGCTCTTGTTACCCAGGCTGGAGCACAATGGTGCGATCTCGGCTCACCGCAACCTCCGCCTCCTGGGTTCAGGCAATTCTCCTGCCTCAGCCTCCCGAGTAGCTGGGATTACAGGCACACGCCACCGTGCCCAGCTAATTTTTTGTATTTTTAGTAGAGACGGGGTTTCACCATGTTGACCAGGATGGTCTCCATCTCTTGACCTCGTGATCCACCCGCCTCGGCCTCCCAAAGTGCTGGGATTACAGGCATGAGCCACCGCGCCCGGCCCGGTTTTTGTTTTTTAAGGGACAGAGTCTCCCTCCGTTGCCCAGGCTGGAGTGCAGGGGTGTGATCACAGCTCATGGCAGCCTCAACCTCCTGGGCTCAAGCCATCCTCCCAACTCAGCCTGTAGCTGGAAGTACAGGCCCCACCACGCCCAGCTGATTTTTTTGTGTTTTCTGTAGATACAGGACCTTGCTAGTTGTCCCAGGTCCACAGCTCCTGGGCTCGAGGGATCCACCTTCCTTGGCCTCCCCAAGTGCTGGGATTGTAGGTGTGAGATGCTATACCCATCCACAGCCAAGGGTCTTAAAGGCCCCGTTTTATTTATGAAGGTACTGAAATCGTTGGAAGCAAACAAGTTTACAAAACACTGAGGCTCTGTTAGGAAGTGAAGCGCTCCACATGTGTCTCCTGAGGCTGTTTTCACAAGCTGCCAGTAACCCAGGGGCTTAAAATGACAGGAATAGGCCAGGTGTGGTGGCTCACGACTGTAATCCCAGCGCTTTCAAAGGCCAAGGAGGGCAGATCACCTGAGGTTGGGAGTTCGAGACCAGTCTGACCAACATGGAGAAACTCCATCTCTACTAAAAACAGAATTAGCTGGGTGTGGTGGTGCACGCCTCAGGAGGCTGAGGCAGGAGAATCACTTGAACCTGGGAGATCGTGCCCCTGCACTCCAGGCTGGGCGACAGAGAAAGACTCCATCTCAAATAAAAAAAAAGTTGGGCCCAGCACGGTGGCTCACACCTGTAATCCCAGGACTTTGGGAGGCTGAGGTGGGTGGATCACCTGAGATCAGGATTTCGACACCAGCCTGACCAACAAGGCCTCTCCCGGTCCCGGTCTGTGGGGCATTGCCACAGCAGCTCCAGGAGGTTCATACAAGAACCAGAGGCAAAGCATCTTTTTCTTTTCTTTTTGTGTGTGTGCTTTTCAGGTCCCAAGCAACCCCATTTCTACGAAAAAAAAAAAAAATACAAAATTAGCTGGGCGTGGTGGTGCATGCCTGTAATCCCAGCACTTTGGGAGGCTGTGGCGGGTGGATCACCAGGTCAAGAGATCGAGACCATCCTGGTCAACATGGGGAAACCCCGTCTCTACTAAAAATACAAAAAATTAGCTGGGCACGGTGGCGCGTGCCTGTAATCCCAGCTACTCAGGAGGCTGAGGCAGGAGAATTGCCTGAACCCGGGAGGCGGAGGTTGCGGTGAGCTGAGATCGCGCCATTGCACTCCAGCCTGGGCAGCAAGAGCGAAACTCCGTCTCAAAAAACAAAACAAAACAAAACAAAAAGAACCAGAGACAAACAGACACTGTCTCCTTGCTCTGAGGGGCTTCGCATGGGGGACGCTTGGTAGGTGTTGCTGGGAGTTACAACCTGCCGGCCTTCCCTCTGCCCTGACATGGGGAAAGGCTTCCTTTGCACTTGAGACTTTATTTTTTAATTTTTCTGAGATGGAGTCTCACTCTGTCGCCCAGGCTGGAGTGCAGCGGCATGGTCATCTCGGCTCCCTGCAACCTCCGCCTGCTGAGTTAAACGATTCCCTGCCTCAGCCTCCGAAGTAGCTGGGATTGCAGGCGCGCTGCGCCCAGCTAATTCTTACATCTTTAGTAGAGACAGGGTTTCACCATGTTGGTCACGTGCAATTCTAACCACCTTGGCCTCCCAAAATGCTGGGATTACAGGCGTGAGCCACCCCATCTGGCCCACTCTTGGGACTTTATATTATAGCTCATGGCAATGGGTACAGGACCTCCAGCCCCATAGCTCCTGCAGACCATCTCTCTAGTGGAGGGTCCTGTGAGCCACCTGAGGATGGAAGAGAGATGGGTACGGGAGAGATCAGGGAGCTTAGGGTTGCAAGAGCAGCAGAAAGGTCAGCTGCCTCCTCATTCCTCAATAGGGGCGCTTGGCCATAAACAGAACGGAGGCTTGTTATCTTAACAGGACTGCGTGCTAAGCATAAGTGCGGTCTCTCCCCCCGGGCACTGTGGGCACTGGGGCCTGCATCTTTCTCTGGGCAGGGGCAGGGCGCTGAGCTGCATCCTTGGGCTTCACCCACTCTGTGCCAGGAACGCCCTCCAGATGTGACAACCAAAGACGTCCCCAGACATCGCCCAGTGTCCCCTGGAGGGCAGGATCGCTCCTCCTGGAGACCCTGCGATGTAGCCTCATGGAGTGTGAGCGTGGCAGCCGCCCTGTCTTTAGGGTAGAGTCGAGGCGTTTTCTCCCTGTCCTTAGAGGCCGGGCCTCAGAGCTAAGGCGTCTCTCAGCCAGGGGCCTTTTCACAGGGCAAGGGCAGACCGTGCCATCCTGGGCACTGAGGCCCTGGGGGGAGCTGCCGGCCCCCGACTCCCCCGTGGGACCCCTAACGCGACAGGGTCACGCCCCGACCACCCGGCCACGAAAGGACCAGCAGCACTAGAGCCCCGGCGGGCCCGGAGCGGAGGTCGCGGCGCGGGAGGCGGTGGCACTTACGGGTGAGCTGCCGGGAGCCGCGCGCGCCGGCCCAGGTGGGCGCAGGTGACCATTGGGGCGCGCGCTGGGGTGCCACGCAGGGCCCCCGAAGCGGGAGCGCCCCGTGCAGGCCGGCCGGGCTCCCCTGCGTGTCCCGGGGCGGCCTCCTCCGCTCGGCCCCTCGGACGCCCCACGCAGGCGCCCCTCGGGAACTCGCCGCCGCCGCCGCAGCCGCCAACCCCGGACGCGCGCAGAGACGGACTCGGCACTGCGCCGGCTCACCCCGAGCCTGCGAACTACGAGTCCCAGCAGGCTCCGCGGCGCGGCGCTGGGCTCCCGACGCCTCGAGCTGGGTCACAGCGCCGCCTCCGGGCGGGCGGCATCTCCGCAGGACCGCGTTGCCTCTGAGGCTGTCGGATCCTGTGCATTCTGGGGTTCGCGGGGCCAATCCTTAAATCCCAGCTCCGTGGTTTCCCGGCGGCTTGCCATTGAATATTAACAACTATTATTATTTATTAAGCAAATTATATGAACATGCAATGCATTCCATATTATTAAAATGATTGCTTAAGCAATTGTTTAGGACTATTAAAGGTTAATCTGTGATTGTTATGGAAAAGGAAAAAAAAAGACCGAGTTTCGCTTTTGTCATCTAGGGGGGAGTGCAATGGCGTCATCCCAGGTTCAAGTGATCCTCCTGCCTCAGCCTCTTGAGTAGCTGAGATTACAGGCGTGCGCCACCACACCCAGATTATTATTTATGTTTTTGGTAGAGACGTGGTTTCACCATGTTGGCCAGGCTGGTCTCGAACTCCTGACCTCAAGTGATCCGTCTGCCTCGGCTTCCCGAAGTGCTGGAATTACAGTCATGAGCCACCACGCCCGGCCATGATTGCTGAAATAACTGTTTAAATAAATTGTTCAAATAGTTTATTATTCTGATTGGTATTTTTCATGAGAAATTATAACAGCTAAGCGACTATGATTAACATGCTATAAAGGTTCATAACAGGGTCACAGTGAAGGCGTTAGTCAGTTCTCACAGTGAGCCACGGGCCACCACGCCGAAGTTTTTTGTTTTTTTTTTTTTTTGAGACGGAGTTTCGCTCTTGTTGCCCAGGCTGGAGTGCAATGGCGCAATCTCGGCTCACCGCAAACCTCCGCCTCCTGGGTTCAGGCAATTCTCCTGCCTCAGCCTCCCGAGTAGCTGGGACTACAGGCACGTGCCACCATGCCCAGCTAATTTTTGTATTTTTAGTAGAGACGGGGTTTCACCATGTTGACCGGGATGGTCTCGATCTCTTGACCTCGTGATCCACCCGCCTCGGCCTCCCAAAGTGCTGGGATTACAGGCTTGAGCCACCGCGCCCAGCCCACACCTAAGTTTTGTATTTCGGGTTTTTTTTTGGAGACAAGAGTCTTACTCTGTCGCCCAGGCTGAAGTGCAGTGGCGCGATCTCGGCTCACCGCAGCCTCCACCTCCCAGGTTCAAGCAATTCTCCTGCCTCGGCTTCCCAAGTAGCTGGATCTTCTGCAGGCACCCGCCACCAGGCCCAGCTGATTTTTGAATTTTTAGTAGAGATGGGATTTCACCATGTTGGACAGACTGGTCTCAAACTCCTGATCTGCCCGCCTCAGCCTCCCAAAGTGCTGGCATTACAGGCATGAACCACTGTGCCCAGTCAAATGAAATTACTATTTAAATATTTAATATTCTACTGTTATTCATGAGAAATTAAAGTAAGGAAACGACTATACTTAATATACCATAAAGGTTCATGATATAGTCTGAGTAACGGCATTAATCAGTTCTCACACTGCCTAAGGCATGCGCCACCACATCTGACTGCTTTTTGTATTTTTAGTAGAGACGGGGTTTTGTCATGTTGACCAGACTGGTCTTGAACTCCTGGCCTCAGGTGATCTACCTGCCTCGGCCTCCCGAAGTGCTGGGATTCTGGGCGTGAGCCACCACGCCCAGGCAATAAATTAATAATAACTGGGAATGTTTGGACCGACAGAACTGCCAAGTTCAGGGGCAGGACTGGACCCCGGTGTAAACTGGGATCGAGGTGCCTGGACGACATAGTGGGTAGCCTCCATCACAGCTGTTTGCTCCGGATTGGCACGCCCTACTCCAAGCAGCTCCATGTGCCAACAGCATTTCCTCCTCCCAATTTCAAGTTCAGGGAAAAATAAAATTCTTTCTCTAATAGTTCAAACCAAGTCAGAATGGAGGATTACTGAGGCAGGTGCTCCAGAATAGATCACAAGCCCATCTGTAAACTATCGATGAGAGGTGGCCGGGGGCACAGGATGGCCTCCAGGACAGAGCTGAGGATGGGGCGAGAGGGAATTACCCAACGGCCCTGTGGGGTCTGAAGGAGGAGAGCATCCCAGTGGCCTGATGCAGCTTGGAAAGACCGGAAAGTTCTGTGCGTGGCCATCGGTTTCCCCAGGGAGCCACGTGGGCAGTCCCCGGCCCCCAGCCCATGCTGGAACTCACCCATGGCCCCATTTACCTTGAGACTTGAACCCAGACCTCCTGCCTCCTGGCCCAGGGCTCAAGCCACCCGCAAGCTGCCCATCAATCTCAGAATCGAACTGAGTTTCACAAAACATTCCGTTTCCTGAACTACGGACAGCCCTGGAGGGTGAGGCCCCACGCGAGATGCCCCTTGCAAGGCTGTGGCCTTCCACTGGTGTTGCTGACTGGGGAGAGGAGGGAGAGGACACTGGCTCTGCTCCCAAGACAGCCCATCTGGAACACAGGGACAGTTCTAACACCAGTCCTGCCTGCGGGGAGGATGACAACACAGCGCCTGCCCACCCCGCGGCGCTGGGCGCCCTGTAGCAGCCCCAGTGGTATTGCTCCGAGCTCGGGGCTGCCCACCAGAAAGATCCCAGCAGCTTCTCGGTTTGAGAAATACTTAGTGAATGACCTTAGCTGGGCCACGGGCACAAAGCCTGGGTGTGTGTGTTGGAAGCAGCACTGGCAGAGAAAGCACTGTGGGGACGAGGAGCCAGGGATGCCTGGGGACAGCCCAAGGTGGTGGCTGGACGGGTGACAGGGAGGAGATCTCCCTTCTGTGGTCAGGTTTTGTCAAAAACGCAAATGAGTTTATGGAGAAATGTTGCAAAGATCCCAAACATACAGGCTCATATATAATTATATATTATATATAATATATATATAATTTATTTTTATTTCTTCTTTTTTTTTTTTGAGATGGAGTTTCGCTCATTACCCAGGCTGGAGTGCAATGGCGCGATCTTGGCTCACCGCAACCTCCGCCTCCTGGGTTCAGGCAATTCTCCTGCCTCAGCCTCCTGAGTAGCTGGGATTACAGGCACGCGCCACCATACCCAGCTAATTTTTGTATTTTTAGTAGAGACGGGGTTTCACCATGTTGACCAGGATGGTCTTGATCTCTTGACCTTGTGATCCACCCGCCTCGGACTCCCAAAGTGCTGGGATTACAGGCTTGAGCCACTGCGCCCGGCCTATGTTTTCCCTTTATTCTCCACAGGGGAGCAGCAAGGGGCCAAGGAGAATGACAATCTGGATGGGCAGGGGATGTGAATGCCAGGCTGCCCTCATAGCTGCTGCTGGAGCCCTGTGGCAGGAGTGTGGGGTGGAGGAGCCGGGAGACACAGCAGGTGTGCGTCCCCCTCCCTGCTCCTGGTGTGGGGCTGGGCCCCTGCGGTCACAGCCCCTGCTGTCCTGGAGTGTTTGGGGAAAGCGGGTGCCCCGCGTGGGCGTTGGGAGGCTCTGAGGACCGTCTCTGTGCACGGGGACTTGGACCGAGATTCTGCTGCCACCTCCAAGTTCCTGGGTGTCACAGAGGAGCAGGGGACACACTGGGGGACGCGGCCCAGCCTGCCAAGCACCGAGGGACCGCTGGGGCATCTGGCAACTGACATCTAAGCCCAGTGCCTTTCAGGGGAGCGGGGTGTGGATGGTCGGGCCATCTGCCCAAGGCCCAGCAGCCCAAGACTGCGACCCTAGCTCTGCTATGACGGGCCAGGCTATGTATGTGACCACAAGGCGGTGCAGCCCAGGGCCCAGCTGGCGTGCCTCAGCACACCGGGGTCTCAGAGGCGGACAAGGTGGAAGCATCTGCGGGCTTGGTGCAGGGGAAGATGAGGGCACCCCCGGGCTCCCGCCTCCACCTCTGCCCGCTACTGTCGCTTCCAGAGACGGCCTCGCTCTGTTGCCCAGGCTGCAGTAGCAGGATCACGGTGCACTACAGCCTCAACCCTCCTACGCTCAAGCAATCCTCCCGCCTCAGCCACCCACCCCACACCCAGCTAACTTTTTTGTAGAGATGGGGTCTTGCTATGTTGCCCAGGCTGGCCTCGACCTCCTGGGATCAAGCAGTCCTTTGGTCTCAGCCTCCTGAGTAGTTGGGGCTTCAGGTGCAAGCGATGGCTGCAGCTCTGGGCTGAGTATTGGAAATGTGGCCACCGTCGTGGGCCCACTTCACACTCCCACCTTTCCAGCATAACCCTGCAGGCCACGGATTGTGCTGTCCAGCTCTGCAAAGACAAGACTCGCCCCTCAGCCCCCAGAGCTGGAAAGACACAGACTCAGGTGCACGGAGTGGAGCCCGGCGTGCGGAAGGTGCAGAGCAGGCGCCATGGCAGCGGCCACAGCCACACCTGCCCGGGTGGGAACGGGACAGAGGGGCTAGAGCAGATAGCACAGCAGCCAGAGTCCCATCCAATTGAGGTGGGGACGAGGCGACGTCTGGCCACCCAACAGGCCTCGGGAAGCAGGGTCACAGGTTGCGTTGGCCAGCCTCCTTGATGGAGGACCACGAGCAGGGAGGGACGCCCCAGGGCACGAGGGGGGCTCCCGAGAAGCTCAGGGTCACGGGAGCAAATATCAGAGCGCTCGAGTTGAAGCCAGGAGCATCCGCCTGTCCTGCTCAGGCACTGGGACACAGCCGCCAGCTCTCCCTGAGGCACCTCTGGAGCATCGCCAGAGGGTCCAAGAAGTGCCCCCCGACCCTGATTCAGACGTTGTCATGTTGCCCACAGCCAGGGAAGCAGGGCCACTGGGGAGGGCAAGCACGGGCAGTCCCCAAGGCCACGAGGACGAGGGCCACAGACGAGCTGCCAGCAGCTGCCCTGGTTCACCCGGTTTGCTCGTGTCCAGTGGGATCCCCCAGAGACTCTACCCAGGAAGCTGGAGCGAGCCGGGCCTTCCCCTCGGGGTGAGAGGGTGGGCGGCTGCCGACCCCCAGTCCTGCCCAGGCTGCCTGTGCGCACAGGGGGCTGCGTGGCTTTGTGGGCTCAGCAGCCGAGCCTGCTCCTTGATGGTCAGAGTTGAGCAGGGAGGGGAGGGGATGTTCCAGGATGCCAGCAGGTGAGAAGCACGCAGGAAGCAGAAGTCTCTGAGACCCCTGCAGGCTGGCCTGGCTGGCAGAACTGGTTCCCCCAGCCCCCGGGCCTTCACTCCCTCCAACGTGGACCTGTGCCCCCATCTAGGGCCTGGTGCGGCAACAATGGAGGGCTGGACCCTGACCCCATGTCCCGCCATCCTAGGACAGAAAGGGCAGGAGCCAACCACCAGGCTGGGGAGCCTCTCTCCTTTTTCTCCTTTTAATGATCTCATTCCAAGAGCCATGTCCTGACCAGGAACGTTTCCCAGGAAGGGGACGTGTTAGTGCAGCCACGAGAGGCCTCAGACGCCTCGAGGACCCCATCTCTAGCTGAGGGCCACTGGGCGGGGACAGACAATGACAAGGGCAGGAGACAGCTGCTCCGCTGCCCTGCCAGCCCCAGGTGCTGTGCCAGAGCCTGCCCCATCTTGGGGCTGTGGCTAAGGCACCAGGCGGTGGGGGCATGGGCTGGACTGGGCAGTCGCAGCACGGGGCCTCAGCAGGCCTGCGCTCACAGCCCCCCACCTGCAGCCCCTTGCTCAGGAGGAAGGCGTCCTGCTTGGGGTCACGGCCCAGGAAGTGCTTCAGCATGGCACTGGCGTCCTCGGAGCCGCCGGGCCTCAGGATGCAGCTTCTGTAATCCATGCCCACCTGCCGAGAGACAGAGGGCGCTGCAGCCAGGTGGGGACCCAGGGGGAAGGGCACAACCCCCGCCCATGGGGGCTCAGAGCAACCCTTCCAGGCTCCCAGGGAGGTCTGGGGGACCGCCTGCATCAGCACGGGTTGGGAGCTGTGAGCGCCTCTCATCACAATCTCAGAGCTGGGTGTGTACTGAGGGACCAGCAGTGCCCCAACTCCAGAGGTGGTTCCCCGCTCAACCCCCACTGAAACCCAGGCTGAGCCTGCGGTGGGACAGGGCAGGGCTGGCCTCAGAGCTGGCAGCCACCTGCTCCTAGAGAGGGACTCTGGCGGCTGCCCTGAGCCTGCGTCGCGCATGTCACGGGGAGGCGCGGGCTCACATGGCGCAACAGCCCAGTGCACAGTGCGGAGCGGGACTGGAGGGGCAAATACACGCAAAGGCCAAGCCAGGCCTCCCCAAAGAGGGCTCTGTCTCAGCACACGGCTCCCAAGCAGAGAACCTCACTGGGGTCTCCGCAGTGGCTGGCGCTGGCCACCTCGCTGTCTCGTCTCTGCCTCACCCCTCTGTAGTCCCGAAGGACTCCTCTGGGAAGACGCGGAGCTCCCAGCACTCACAGCCCCAGGCCTGCGGGTCCAGCGTGGAGACTTCCTGCAGGGCCCGGGGAGCAGCACCCGCGCCGAGACCAGCAGGTGCCTCGGCCAGGCTGGCTCACCTGGCACACCCAGGACGAGGCCAAGGTCGCGCTGTTCTCGAGCCACCCTGCTGTTCAGGATGCCCTCCCCGGACCCCAGTCCCCATGTACCTTGCTGTTCAAGATGCCCTCCCCAGACCCCGGTCCCCATGTACCTTGCTGTTCAAGATGCCCTCCCCGGACCCCCGGTCCCCATGTACCTTGCTGTTCAAGATGCCCTCCCCCCGGACCCTGGTCCCCATGTACCCTGCTGTTCAAGATGCCCTCCCCGGACCCCGGTCCCCATGTACCTTGCTGTTCAAGATGCCCTCCCCGGACCCCGGTCCCCATGTACCCTGCTGTTCAAGATCCCTCCCCGGACCCCGGTCCCCATGTACCCTGCTGTTCAAGATGCCCTCCCCGGACCCTGGTCCCCATGTACCTTGCTGTTCACACGCCTCCCCGGACCCTGGTCCCCATGTACCTTGCTGTTCACACGCCCTCCCCGGTCCCCATGTACCTTGCTGTTCAAGATGCCCTCCCCAGACCCCGGTCCCCATGTACCTTGCTGTTCACACGCCCTCCCCGGACCCCGGTCCCCATGTACCTTGCTGTTCACACGCCCTCCCTGGACCCCGGTCCCCATGTACCTTGCTGTTCACACGCCCTCCCCGGACCCCGGTCCCCATGTACCTTGCTGTTCACACGCCCTCCCTGGACCCCGGTCCCCATGTACCTTGCTGTTCACACGCCCTCCCCGGTCCCCATGTACCTTGCTGTTCAGGATGCCCTCCTGCTTGAAGCGCGTGTGGAACATGTCCATGGAGTACACCTCGCTCCACAGGTACCCGTAGTACTGGGCGTCGTAGCCGCCCGCAAGGTGGCCGAAGGTGGCAGGCATGTTGGTTCCTGGGACAGACACATGGCAGGGTTCACACTGCAGCCCCCACCCTGTGCTCCTCCCCGAGGTGAGGACGTCCAGCCAGACTCCCAAGATCCCTGCCTGGAACGGGGAGAAGCCAGAGGACCACAGCGAGGGCCAGAACCAGCCAAATAACTTCTAGAACCAGAGCCCAGCCACGAGGCGAGGGCCACAAGTTTCTGGCCTCTCTCCTGGAAGGACAGGGGCTCATTGAACGGAACCGTCAGCCGCAACGAACTCCCCAAACTCCCGCGGCGGCTCCCCATCAGCCCCACCAAAACGCCAGGCTGAGCCACAGTGCAAACATCCCGTTATGAGACCGCATCAATAAACCAAGGCATGGCTATGCGACAACAAAGGACACGCTGCTTCAAAACGCTTTCAGAGGCTGTTTAAAGTCTATGGAACGGTGAACCCACAGAACACAACGCATGTTAAAATCACGCTGTTTCTGTATCACGTGTTCACACGTCACGGACCCACAGACACAACGCATGTTAAAATCACGCTGTTCTGTATCACGTGTTCACACGTCACGGACCCACAGAACACAACGCATGTTAAAATCGCGCTGTTCTGTATCACGTGTTCACACGTCACGGACCACAGAACACAACGCATGTTAAAATCGCGCTGTTTCTGTATCACGTGTTCACACGTCACGGACCCACAGAACACAACGCATGTTAAAATCGCGCTGTTTCTGTATCACGTGTTCACACGTCACGGATCCTCTCTAGTGCGTATGAACACACGTGCATGCAGGAGAAACAGGTGCAAATCAACACAGGACCCGCTTCCTCCCGTCAGGACCTGAGATTTCTAGTC